CTGTGCGTTAGACGCTTGCGCGAGAGGCAACTTAGCCACCTTGTTCAGCGTCTGATTCTCTGTGGACACTCTATTATAAGCCTAGATCTCGCCCCGTCACAATATGTTGCTTTGCATGGTGCTCAACTTAATTTTTTCTAATCTTTTTTTCCTTCAGTGGCTTTTTGGTCATCATTCTTTTGTTGTGAAACTTGTAGCGTTTTTTTTTACTTGCATGTGAGATGATGTGTGTGCATGGTTGCTACGGTTATATATTGCACTAATTTTTTTGGAATAAAGTTGGTTGCAAGTGATGCCCTTTATGTTCTGTCAATTATCTTCTTGGACTGTACGGGCCATTTTGTGTTTCAAAAAGAAATGAATGACCGAATTCGGGAGCATAAACTTTCTTTGAAGAGTACCTTTTTTTTGTATTTCAGTAAGGAATAAGTGACAGAATACGGAAGTATGAACTTTCTGTGAGAAGTGAACTTTTTTGTATTTCAGTAAGGAAAAAATAATGAAATTTGGGAGCATAAACTTCTTCAAAAAATTAACCTCTTTCTTGTATTTCGGGAAGAAATAAATGACAGGATTCCGGAGTATGAACTTTCTGTGAAAACTAACCTTTTTTGTATTTTAGTAAGAAATAAATGTCAGAATTAGGAAGCATGAACTACGAGAGCCATACTGGTCGTACCATCTGTGATGCGAGGCGACATCCTTAAGGCGTGCCATGACGAACCATCTTTCGGGCATTTAGGGTTCACGCGTACTCTGGCTTGTATCCACCACACGTACTACTGGCCCAAACTGTCTTGTACCGTCAAGCACTACGTCGAAACTTGCCGAGACTGCCAGCGTCGCAAGACTCCGCCCATGAAATCTGCTGGTCTTTTACACCCTGTGGAGCTACCCCAAGAATTGTTTCAACAAGTTGGCATGGACCTGCTAGGTCCATTTCTAAAGTCTTCAGCGGGCAATTGCTGGATAATAATTGCGACTGACTATTTAACCCGTTACTGTGAAACTTGAGCACTCCAGCGCGGTAGGGCAAGCGATGTCGCGGATTTTTTCATTCGTGCTGTCAACCTCTGCCATGGTGCACCAGCTGTGGTTCTAACAGACAGAGGCACGGCCTTCAATGCCCAACTGTGGGGAAAAGTGACAAGACTCATTGGCACCGTACATCGCCGAACGACAGCTTACCTAACGGATTAACAGAACGGCTCACAAAGACCATCACAGATTATCAATGTATGTCGACGTGGACCATAAAAACTAGGACAGTTTCCTCCCTTTCGTAACTTTCACATATAACACCATCGTGCAAAGAAACTACAAGATTTACACCTTTCTACTTGCTTCACGGCCACGAAGTTACTACAATGTTAGACGCCATGCTTTTACCTGACACCTTTACGACCACCACCGATAATGCTGACCAGTATCTGCAGCGTGCGAAGAAGCTCGACAACTAGCTCGCTAGTGCATTTGCTCTAGCAACAACACGATGCTCATAGGTACAACCTTCGCCACAAAGAAGTCACCTATCACCCCGGATAAAAAGTATGGCTCTGGAGTCCAGTACACCAACGTGGCCGCTCTTAGAAACTCTTGCGTCGTTTTTTCGGCCCATACCGAGTTGTTCAGCGCCTCAGTTATGTACACTACGAAGTTATTGCAGAGCCCAGCATGCGGTTCTCTCGTCGTGGTGCCCAGCCGAGCATCGTCCACGTGGCTAGGATGAAGCCGAATTTCTCACTCTGTAGACTTGCTTTTGCCTTCATACATCTGAAAGCATCGAGTTGATGCTTTTCTGAGAGGGGGAGTAATGACACAAGCATGTAGTGGGTTTCCGGCTGTTGCGTGGCTAGTGTCATCATAACTTGTATGTGTCGAAGGATTTGGTCTGTGGAAAGACGACGAACTCGCGCAGCTCGATCGAAGCCGTTCCGCTGTTTGCTACACTAGTACTTGCACTGATTTTATTACCATGACAATATGCAGAAAACTAAAATCATGTGCAACAGTCTCAAGAGAGAATAGTACTTCGCAATAGATAGTGGAGCTCTGGAAGTGATAAAAGAATATGTCCACTTTGTACATCTCGTGACCGCGGAGCAGAACCACGATACCCAAGTAACCAGAACAATAATAGGTAGGAGCGCAATCGGCGGGCATCCTCGTATCATAAGCGGTGGTTTACCACAAGAGGAAAGTGCTTAACAGCTGCATCTTACCAGTACTTAGCAGCAGGAAATAAGGCTGGAGCCTTACAAAGAGGGTTCAACTGGAGACGACGCAGCGAGCAGTGGAAAGGTAAACGATAGGTGTAACTTTAAGAGATAGGAACAAAACAGAGTGGGTCAGGAGACAAACGGGTGTCAAGGTCAATTCAGTCGAAATCAAGAAGCAGAAATACATGTGGGCAAGGCATGCGGCATATATACAGGATAACTGCTGGTTAAAAAAAAACGGACTGGATGCCAAGATAAGACAAATACGCGAATGTGAGATGGTTAGACGGGCAGATGAGATAGCGGCGGTTGTGTCGCTTTTAAAGGAAATATCAGGTAACACTGCTGGTTTTCCTTCAAAGTATATTGCTTCGCTCGGCAATTGTAACTTTAAAACCTATGCTGAAATAAAGGTGCCTCGTTTATGTTCAAGATATTGTATTAGAAAAAGAACTCATGCAAGGACCTTTCATATAATTTACTGGGTCGTTGGGATTTTCCTCATAACACCGGTGACACAGATGCACACTTATGATGAATTAGGCTATCTTAAATGAATGCCCCTGCAGTATCGAGAACATTCTACGTCTCACGACTGTTCAATGGTAGAGTACCAAGTACTCCTAATCGTTATACACTTTTTTAAACACAGCCAGTCGACAACTACAGTGAGCTGCGTTCCCGGTTTTACACTAAGCTTATATACTTGTTTCTGGTTACCTAGTTGAGAATCTAGATATAAGTGGTGTCGAAGCCTTTTTAAGGCACAGATTTTCATACTAAATGGAAAAAAACCTGAAATTTCTGGCAGTGCCATACTGAGTTAAATAAAAGAAACAAGTCCTCTTCCGACTCACTATGTTGCTCACTTCTTTTTTTACCTTTCTCTTAAGTTCTTTGAAAGGATATCTTTTTTTTCATAGTTTCATAGCCACACACAGTCTAATATTGAATTCCGGGTAAAATTGCATCTAACATTTGTATAGGTAATACTGATGCAATTTCTAAATTTTAGTGTATAAGTGTGTCTGGTGTTTGCGTATACTGGTTCGATAACTTTCCCTTGAAAACACAAGGTTAGAATGATCAGGATTCGGTACTTTATCGAACAAATATAAACACAAGGTGCAAAGGCCTTCATCAGAATGTAGCGTGCACGATTTTTCAGGGTGAGGAATGGGAATATAGAATTTCCTCGACTGCCGTTTTAAAAGTACCTGGCAGAAAACAAACTTTTTTCTTGAGAAATATTCTGCGATTCCGTCTACTTTCTGTGTTCCCTTTTCATTTCTATCAATGAACTGTGATAATATCGTAGTGCTGCAAGTTACATCGTGCCTGTTTTCTTTTTTGTACGTCCCACAGAGGTCATTTTGCTACCCGGTGCTATTGTACACCACACATTTTTTTAAAGACGATAATCTTTCTTGGGGACTTTCAACGAAAAATATTTGGTCTGTCTGTCTGTACATTTGTCTGTTTGTCCGCCCAAAGATACCTCAAACGGCCAATCCCATCCGCAGCGCCCACCAATATTGCTCAAGGTTTAGCGTTCATATTTGTGCGATTGTCAATTAAAAAAGCAAATATTGCGCATATATGAGGCGCCACAACAACACGTCCATGTTTTGTATGTCTGCCTTTATACTAGAAGAGGCACACAGAAGTCATTCTAAAGACTGTAGCGTTTAACACGCTGCGCTGACAGTGCAACACGATGCTCAATACCTGCCCGTCGCTTTGAATTCTACACCTCATTACCTCCGCGGTTGTGCACGTCTTCGTTTTCGAAGATAACTGCCAGATGGCGCTAACGTATTACGTATAACGTTACGTATATTACGTATAACGTGCCTAGATGTGCTTGTTCGCCTCCGTTACACGCTCGAGGCACTCCAACGCAGCATCTTCTAAATACCATTCACCAATTTTCTTGCGCAAAACATAAAATAAACGTTTTTTTCACTCTCTCCAGACGCAAGACTATCAGTCTTTTGACAACATTTACAGGGTAACATGTAGATTCGGGCCAATTTTTTCGAGTACAACGTTTCGCGTGGACTTATTGTTGTGTATGTGTCTTGTTTCTAGACAACAGTCGTTTGCTAGACAACATGTGAAGTCAGACGGGGGTTTTCAACCTGATGCTGTGCTGAGAGTGATACAAACACATCATTACTTTTTTACTAAGTTTTCTGCCTTTTGCCGCTCTCTACAACTAGAAATAATTTTCTCCTTACCTTTCCATCCACCATTGTACACTATTAAGCTAGCCGTAAATGTAATTACTAGAATGTATATCTGACTCCCAACTGAGGACCCCTGTCTAAACTATATCTGTTTATGAGAGTTTTAATTACAACTCCAAAACAAAATACGATACAGCCTTAAAGGCAGCACCAGTCCTATTATTTAGCAGTTGGAAACTTTTCATGCACTCGAACCACCCGCGACCTATACGCTCAACGTAACAATAACACAGAAGTAGTTCGCAAAAGAGGAGACGTCCAAGTTGGAGCGCCACGCATCAAAATCAGCAAAACTCCCACAGAGCAGCCAACAAGGTCAATATTGAGCCCGACAGTTGGGAGAAAATAAGCGCGCAAGAAAGTCATCAAGAGCTCTGTGTGTATAGCTTTTTTTTTTTGTCCAGAACGCATAGTGAGCATGCGGAACTTCAAAGCGGCATTGAACTGAGTTGTAGTCATTTGTGGGGACACGGCGTCCACTTAGTATGCTGACTTCGCTGTGTCTTCAGGGCTTCATAAAGAACACATTGACTGTTGCATTCGTAAAGCTTTGCCTGTTTTGTGACCTGTATTAGACTTTTATTGTGTGTTCTATTTCTATGCAATGTATCCTACCGCACTAATGATGGTGACAGTAACTTCTTAAGCACAGTGCTTGGCACCGTTTGCAGTATCTAAGGCTGTGTTGTCAAGTGTGTTTCGTGATTGCAGTACGAAAGCCATCCTCGATGTTCAGCCTTGACGGAAACAGCTCATTTCATTTTCAACCATACACACTTTTTTGTCGGTGTAACTCCCCAAGACAAACGAGTTGCCCAAAACATAAAACCAACCAAATCTTTCACTCTACACGTCTGCATTGAGCTTCGAGGTCACGCGCCACGAAATTCCAGTATTCGCATCGAATGACGTCCTGCTCTTGTGCCAGTGTGTGACACAGCTCTAGTGCGAGCTTTAACAGCTTTGGCTCGCTCTCCAGACGATGAGCCAGAGAGTCCACCATAAAGGCCAGCAAGTACGCTACGCGGCAGTTGCCTTTGTAGAGGCTCTTGCAGAACTCCTGCACCTCTGGTCGTTCACCGCCTCCGGCCGCGTCAATCACACCACGCAAGTAGTTCCAGGGACTCTCGTTGTGTGGTGCCTTGCGGATGCACTCCATAGAGTAGGCGCACTCCCGCTCCACAACTTCCTCAGTGAAGCCAACCTGGAAGATGATACTCAAGTTGGGCTAGTTGGTTCGCTCATTTTGGAGACATGTTTAAACTGCGCGAACAAAACTACACTACACGTCAAAAACGTGAAACGCCCACAGACAGTGTAAAGTGTGACCCCAGCATGCCGCTCCCATGTTGGAAGGCGACACCTCCGTACTTTCTTGGACCGTCTGAATGGCCACTGACTGGACCTTGAGCGTGGCACTTGAGATGGCCTTGTCTTAGTTCTGTTCGCTGTGAGTGGCATATTCGATAATGCGGAGAATATGTTTACGAGTGCTAAAAACATCTGAAAAATCTGAGCACTGCGGATCAATTTCTTTGTTAATCCTACTCGCGGAAATTTCAATTCTTGCATTATGTGGAGCACCTTACCAGGCATTGGAGCCAACAAACATAGCATTATGAAGACTTAGGCTTAGGTTCCCACTGAGACAGTACAAAAGACAAAACACATAAAAGAAAACTAGACTAGATGACAACAAAGTGCGTCATTCAAACAGAAATAAAGGAAAGAAAGGAGGACAGAAGATGCAGACACGCAACCTACACACATGACAAAATCATCTCAGGCATGCAGCCTCATTAAGTACTTTCCAAATAAGTAAACTCACATTTGAGCAATACATTGGACAAGGTACTGACACATGTGCTGCCACTTTTGCAGACAGCAAATGCTTCCGTAATCTCCCTTACGCAAGCATCATTGTGCCCAAATAAGGTGTACTCTGGGGGCCAACCACATGTGATGCAGACAAATGGGAGCAGGGCGAGCCCACTAAAGAGCTGTAGGGCAAGATAATGCTGAGTTTACTCCACATAAATCTTACCACGTGAGAACGCAATGGAATCGGGGTTCACAGCAACCTTGAAAATCAAAAGTCAACAGTCTTATAAGGACCTCCAGGCTGCTAACAAAGAATTTTGCAGCACCTGCTGAGCTTGCAGGAATGAACAGCACTGTCTTTTACAACATAAAAGCACAATTTTCACTGAACACATGCCAAAACAGGCACATATTTTCACAAGAAACAGCTAAGTTCATAGTTTGAAAACAGCACAAAATAGACACTGACAAGAAGCACACAGACAAGCCAATGCCCGTACGATCGTGGGCCGTACTCTGTGCAAAGAGTGGCTGCCGACTACGTTTTCAAGAGACCCAGGTTATGCAAACATACAAAGACCACTCTGCACGCAAAGTGTTTGAGGCTTTCGCAATAATGTGTAAAGATGCAGCAGGTGTTAGCGAGCCATTGATTAATCTGACAAGAAGTATCGCATTCTCCGTAACTAATCTATTTGTACTACAAAAATTATGCATCTAGGCACATGCACTGCGAGAAGCATCTTCTGCATTGAGTACTCTACTTCAATCAGCTGTTTTCACAGCAAACCCAATAAATCCAGCAGTGTGCAGCCTGCGCTAGTCCACTGTGCATTCTGAGGTGTTACGGGTGTGTCTTGACCGCCGCCGTCAGCAGGTTGTGCTCGTAACTTGCATCAGGACCGACGAGAAGGGAAGTACCGGCGAGACGGCGCAGAACAGCAAATCAAAAGAGTTTAATACTACATAGTTAGAACAAAGTGGACATTCAAGTTTACACACAAAGGTAAGAAGCCGAGGAGCAGAGTTCCGGCAGAGTCTCAATCCAGACTGCTTCAGCCAGTCTCTCCCTGCGCGTTTTTAAAGGGTTCCAGACGCTTGTGTGACGTCAGGCGCCTCCAGACATGACCAAATATGGAACACCTTGTGTTCGCACCACCTACCACGCCACTGGTCACGCCACCGATCACGCGACTGATCGCGCCACGGATCACACCACCGGCGTTCCCACACTCAAGAGCCAGGTGCGAATGAGCCACGAGCTCACCGCGTTCTCGCGCACAGCACATGACGACCTTCGCGGCAGCAGCGTCTCAGGTTCCTCGGCGTCTGGGCATACACTTCTGCGCCTCTACCCCCGATACGTTTACAGGCCCGGGAGCGTTGGCACGCTGTCCGTGGTCTTGCATTTGGGCCCAAAGGGGTTCGCGTAAAATAAAGCGTAACAGACTGCCCCCTCGCGGATGGAGATCCCGAATGGCAGGGGACAGCATCCACTGTCAACAGGGATCAGTCGTCGAAGCTCGTAGCCTTCTTAACCTGGAGCACGGTACGTGATACCTGGCTCCAGGCCCTGTTCCGTCTCGTAAGGTAGTTCCGCCAGATTTCCCTGATGTTGTCTAGGTTCGCCGGAGGCTGGAGGCGAACCATACAATGGAATCCAGCAAATGGCGACAGTCAAAAGTGGCCAAAGACAATGGTATGAGCTCCTTTCCGGGGCGACCCCGCAGGGGCTCGTCGGTGGGGCTGGTCGCCAGGCAGTTCCGGGTGGTGAGATCATCACACCCCACCGCTTCAGGTCTTTCATCAGCAAGAAGGGAAACCACAGGTTCTTCCGGCGTTCCTGCCAAGAGTTTGGAACCGACGTGGTGTCCGAAGAGATGCCAGATGACAACGAAGTCCTCTCTCTGGGAGAGCAAGATCCTCGCCATGGTAGAGCCGGTCGACTGAACAAACAATCCACGGGAAAACACAGGATAACAAAGCCACTGAAGAAGCAAGCGCGAGACACGTATCCACTGAGCCCCGCCAGGCTTACCTTAAACACAAAAGTCTCAATCTTATTACTCGTACAAAGTACTAAACACACCCCTAATTTCGTTGCCCACCTAACGACGCACAGGTCTTCCAAAACTACGGAAGAAATAATAACACAAAAACCTATGTCAGGAAGAAAAACAATCGAGGCCAATTCATGACCTAGGGGCTTCGGCTTAAGCCATCGGCATTGCCATTGAGACTCCCCTTTTTGTACCGTATTTCGTATGAATACTGCTGCAAAACGAGGCTCCAGCGCAGGAGGCGACCATTTTTGGAAGAAGTGGACTGCAGCCATCTGAGAGGACAGTGGTCTGTCTCTATTATAAACCTCGAGCCTGCGAGGTAGCACGACAACTTTTGCACTGCCCATACGAGACACGCACATTCTTTCTCGGTTGCGCTATACGCTTGTTCTCGCACAGTCAGCTTACGACTGGCATAAAGAACTGGGTGTTCACCGTCCTCTCCTCGTTGGCACAACACTACTCCCATGCCTCGCTCACTAGCATCACACTGAACTATGAACTCTTTCGAATAATCAGGTGATTTCAGCACAGGTTGACCTGTTAAGGCGGCTTTTAATGCTTTGAAAGCCTCCTCTTTACAGTCATCCCAGATGACAGTTTGTGGCTCAGTTTTCCGGAGCGCGTCAGTTAAAGCGCTAGCTAATTCCGAATATCTCGGGATGTAACGTTGATAGTAACCTGCAACCCCCAGAAATGAGCGGATATCTGTCTTTGAGCGTGGTTGCGGGAAATCGTGTATGGCAGCCACCTTGAGCTCAGAAGGTCGGAGGCGTCCTTGTCCGATTATGTGACCTAGGTAGATCACCTCAGCTTGAGCGAGTTGACATTTAGGTGCCTTCACAGTTAGTCCCGCTTCACGCAAACGCGTTAGAACCACTCGCAGATGTTGCATGTGTTCCGACCAAGAGGACGAATATATCGCCACATCGTCTAAGTAGGGTAAAGCGAATTCCCCTAGTCCTCGTAACACCTTGTCCATAAGGCTTGAAAAACAGTATGGTGCATTTTTCAAACCGAAGCTTAATACCTTAGGGCGGAATGTTCCCAACGGCGATATGAACGCTGCATATCTGCTAGCCCTTTCGGTGAGAGGAACCTGCCAGTAGCCTCGAACGAGATCCAGCGTGGAAATATATCGAGCTCCACTAAGCCTCTCAATGCGCCTTCAATGTTTGGTATCGGGTAAATCTGATCTTTGGTGATCGAGTTTAGCTTGCGATAATCCACGCAAGGGCGTGGATCTTTTCCCGGCACCTCAACTAAGATTAAAGGCGAAGTGTAATCGCTCTCACAAGGCTCGATCACGCCTAATTCCAACATCTTCTTCACCTCGGAATCCATAATCTCTCGTTGGCGCGGTGACACTCGGTAAGCTTTGCTACGCACGGGTTCTGAGGATGTCAGCTCGATGTCATGAGTAACAACAGAGGTTCTTCCAGGCCTATCTACAAATAAGTCCTGAAATTCTGTCAGAAGATCCTGGAGCTCGATCTTTTGCTCCGGCTCTAACTGCGCTTTCGATATTAATTCTTTGATTAGTGGTTCACCATCCTCACCGTTTATGACTGATGCAAGCCCTGGAAGTTCAACTGGAATCTCCTCGGGGATGTTCACCATCATGCATACCACTGCCTCCCGTTCTCGGTATGGCTTGAGCAGATTGCAATGATACACTTGCTGTATCTTTCGCTTTCCGGGCAGGCGTATCACGTAGTTTGTGTCAGAAAGCTTTTCAACTACGTTGGCGGGACCTTCCCACTGCACTTCTAACTTGTTTTTCTGCGACGGTCGCAGTATCATTACTTTGTCCCCGACATCGAATCGACGGGTTCTGGCTGTGCGGTCATAGTACACCTTTGACCTATGTTGCGCTTTAGCCATGGCTTGCTCTGATAGCCGTTGAGCGCTTCTTAAACGCTTCAGTAGCTTCAAAACGTACTCGACCACTACTGGGTCTTCGGCTCGGCCTTCCCACGATTCTCGAAGCAAGCGAAGAGGAGATCGCAACGAGCGGCCGTACACGAGCTCGGCTGGTGAAAACCCCGTTGCTTCATGCGGGGCAGTCCTTAACGCGAACATGGTAGCCGGCAAACATAGCTCCCAGTCCGTCTTCCTTTCGTAGCATAACACCCTCAACACTCGCTTCAGAACGGAGTGGAGCTTCTCCACGGAGTTAGACTGAGGGTGGTAGACTGAACTATGAATTAGTTTTACTCCGCACCTTTCCAAAAACGTAGTGGTAAGAGCACTAGTAAACACAGAGCCTTGATCCGACTGTATTTCGGAGGGAAAGCCAACTCGTGCGAATATGGAAAGG